CTCACCTCTCACCTCTCACCTCTCACCTCTCACCTCTCACCTCTCACTCTCAACTCTCACTCTCACTCTCACTCACTCTCCCACTCACTCTCACTCTCACCCACACTCACTCACCCACTCACACCACACCTTCACTGCATCACCACCATCACCTCTCTGGACCCCAATGCGTCTAGATCTCTAAAATTCTTTAGTTCAAACATGTAACAAAAGGAGTAAATACCAGTAAATTTGATGAAAGGGTGGGTCTTTTTTGGGGGATATATATATATAGAATTATATTAAAGAGAACTGCCTGGTTTCACCACACTGGCTACTAGCAGTTTGATGGCTGCCTGGAACTACATTTCGAACATTGTGTGCACTCGAAAATTGCATATTTGGAACGTGCACTTGTTCCACTTCGCAACGACCATGGAGCATTAAATATTTCCATGTTGGCGTCAGGAGCGTCACGCACATCTTCAAGAACTTGATCACGATGGACAGTCTTTGTACTATTTTGTATTTGTAGCAAAGCAGTTCAAAACATGAACAATGATGTCACTTTAGATCGAAACAGATGTCACTGCTGAGCACTTAAAGTTGATCTCACGAACGATCATTTTCACAGTGAGCTTGACTCCGAGGAGACGCCGATTATCTTGGTCCTTGTATGTGGTCGTCAGGCTGATGCTAGGAAGCAGCCGGATCCCTAGAGCAGAGGGCTGAAGAGGCCGATTATGGGAGTTTATTATTGTTTGGACATACTATTTCTCCGATTTATATAAACAAAACTTGTCAGGTTGGAGCAGGTTGAAGTCCCACAGAGGCTGCAATCTGAGAGTTTTTGAAGAGGAACTTGTCAGAGATTTGCTTGGGCTGTAGGCATCGGGTGGCTCTTCTTGGATTTACGTCGCAGTCCACTTAGATGGTCCTGAGCTAAGCATGTTGGAACTTGACAAGTTTCAAGGTGTATCCATGAGTTGCTTGCCATCGCTGACGTTGTCATCTCAAAGTTTGATCCATAGCTGTCCTCTTGTGCGGTGAAGGGCTTCACTGAAGAGCTTGTTCATTGGAACATGACCTGGACAGCTTCGCTGAACTGCAGGCCAGGCGGACTCATCACCTCTGAAGTATTGGCTTGTGGGCTGATGATGGAGATCCTGACTTGTATTTGCAAGACTCAAAGATGATCTTTTTCAGGGGAGAGGGGGTAGGCTGCTAGGCGGCTAGGTGAGTGGCTAATTATGTAGCTAAGTAGCAAGGACGCAGTACAGCTTGGGTTCTCCAACCGTATAAAAGTTTCCCAAACAATCAACGAACCAAATCAATCGAGCCTGAGCTCTTCTGCATCCCAGCGTGGTGGCTTCCTTGGTACTACTAGCTTCCTTACCCCATACTGCCCGCCCCCTTAAAAACACCAATTTTAAGAACAAACAACGATGATCTGCAGGTCAAAGACAGCAATGTGCCAGGTTGTTGTGGACCCATACCCGGGACAAGAAGAAAGGAATGCATCCATGCTGCTGGAAGAAGGAGCAGGAACCTTGCCCCAACTTGAGTCATTGCCTGTGATCTGGTTGACTTGAAGCTGACAGACAACACGGTTTTGCTTTAAGCAACACATTGCTTTAAGTTTCCACTAGGGGCTCCTGGCATCGCTACTAGCAGCAAGGACGCTACTAGAGGCTCCTAAACACACTCGCAGCGAGAGTTCTTCAAGGAAGCTTCTCCCATAGGTTCAACAAGCGCTACACTGACTCTGTGACTTTGCATGTAGGTACCTTCGCGTCCTGTCGCTACTGAACTAGGTACTTCCTGTCGCTAATACCCCCAACAACAACAGCAACAACAACAAGTACAACAAGTGGCAGTGTTTTTCAATTAAGTCAAGATTCAAAACGGTCATCAAAGCCATGAAGTGACAAGATGAGACGACTTCTCGGATGGAGTCCATGGCCTCCATTGGTTTGGTTTTGCTGATTCTTCAGGTGGATTCGCTCAGGAACGACTGTGGAAGTCATCACTCTCCACAAATTGGCCAAAGGCCGCAAAGCCAATCATATAGGTGCAATCCGCACACTATAACCCTGTGAAACAGTTATTGATTCCTATCACAGCAGCCGGCTGGGTAGTGGACGTAGACGTGGGGTCTCCTTATCTCAGCTTTCTCAGCTTTCCTCTCAGACAGACTTGCAACATATTATGAACACATGAACACTAGCATTAGCAAAGCAACAGATTCAGCCGTAGCACAAAATAGATGGCCTTTCTGAGAATGGGGAAGTTGGTGTTTTACTTGAAACGCCCTGTCGCTTCGTGTCCAAGAGCTTGATTCAGTTTCGCCAATACCCTCCAGCCCGACCTCAATAAATGGATGCATAAGCTTCTGAAAGAGCTCAGCCACAGAGGGGTCTTAGGTTTGCTCCTCACCTGGACCGGTTCCCCAGGTATTTGGATTTGGGACTATCGAGATGCTCCTTACAGGCTTTGCGTTGTAAAATGTGAAAAGCCAGTTTGCAGCGACAGCTGTCAGGTTGGACCGCATTCTTTCTTCACCACCCGAGTCTAAGTTCTCCCTTGCTTGGTACAAGCAGAATGCCGACGTCCTAAAGCAATCACGCTTTGCAATTCTTTCTCTGTATGACTTCAGCGCTTGGGGGACAAACCGAGGCCCGACGGATTGCAAAGCCAGATGCTGCCTTCAAAGTTGCGAGGCGGCGCCACAGTGAACAAACCACTTACTGCAAAGATGCCTCATGCTGCATGGTACTTCTCAACAGGTAGGTAGGATTTGTCAGGTTCTTTGTCAAAATACCAAAGCTTACTCGAGTTTCAACGAACTTAAGCCGTCAACTTGAAATGCGAGGTACGTTCTCAGTGATGCTCCAAGACAACGCATGTTGGTTGAGGCGAGGAAGTCTGATTTGATCTGACCGCTCAGTAAACCTTCAGCAGCTTGAGTTCTGAGTACAGAGAAGTGTGATGCAACACTCTAGAAAAAAATCAAGCAAGTTGTGCGTTTCCCTTGCAGCAACTCACTCGTTCAGCCTATCACTATCACGGTCCACTGAGCTTTGGCATGAGTGACATGGTGAGCCTTCAGGAAAGGGGGGACCTTGAAAGCTCCTCCACATCGCCTAATGGGCCACCGGTGGCAACACAATCGCCAACCTTTTGGACGTGTCTTGGCACCTTTTGGACATTCTGAAATGCATACAGTATGACACAGTACGCCAGTTCACTACTGCTGAGTAAAGAAGTATAACATAGTGTAGTTGTGTGCTGGGTCCATCAGTATGTTTTAGGCCCCCTCCTCTCATCAGCAGTGGAAGCATTTTTTCAGAGGAGACCAGGGAAGTTTGAAAGTGCTGTTAAAAACGGACTATATCTATATACAGAAGTGTGAATGGTACTTTGTCTAAACTGATTGGACTGTTGAGAGGACCCTTTACGCGTGAGACGCACGAGCCCTGTGCAGGGCACTCAAGGGCTACTGTTTTCCACCATACCGACCGCTATACGGCAGTTTGATAAAGCAAAATGAGGCGACGACTCAGCATGAAGGACTTCGCACAAATGAAGGCAAACTAAGATGCACACACGCATGCATGCTTTTGCCAGTTGCGTTCACGTGCTGTATAAGGCACATTACTTTTTAGAATTTGGTCGCTTGTTGCAAGACAGTCTTGCATTTGTGTACTGCATAATGCAGCAACTCTGCCTGAAGGTGTTGGATGCGAATGCAGTGCCGCATACGGGAGAGAGCGAAGACAGCAGCGACACTGAGGATGGTTCTGAGACTCACTCCTATCTTCAGGCTGCCCGTATGGGCCAATTGCCAAGCCATTTTCATTTCTTCAGCAAACGCAAACTATGTGCTGCGATTTGTGCAAAGGGTCGCGCTAGGCTAGCGACCCATTCACAGCTGCCATCCGGGAAATCGTTTGTTTCAGAACCAATTTGATTTGATTTCTGAGCAGGTGCAGGAAGACTGAGCCTGTGACACTTTTCATTGTCACTGCCTGTGCTGTTTCACACTAGCCACATCACAAGACCTGGAAGTTTCACTTTGGGAGAGCTCAATACAAGGAGGACATGTGGCAGTGCTTTGGTGAGTTCAGAAGCTTTGATGGACTGCTTTGCTGATTGTGGCGCTTGACCGCAGATCTCTTGAAGCCGTTCCTTCAATAAGGTAGGGCCGGTAGGGTATGGACTTGGGATCCAGCACAGCGCAATGGCTAAGATCTTAATTGCAGCTTACTTTTTTGCTGTGGCTAGCGGCTAGCCAGTTCATTTCTCACTGCAGCATGCTGAGACGGAGATTGAGACACACTTGGCAAAGTCGTGCCGTATTGGTGCTTGAAGCTGAGATCGCCTTTGTTACTTTGGTTTGCTGCTTCCATTCTGGATTGCTTTTGATTTTGGATGTGGCAATGCCTTGAATCCCTGAGGTTGAGAACGAAGTTAGTATTGAACCTCGGCAAACTCAGCATGTATCATTTTATCGGTTTAACATACCAGGTTTGTTGTGACATACAAGGATGGCGACCTCGGGCATTTGGGTGTGGACCCAAGATTGGACAAGAGTCTTTGTGTTGACGCACGAGGCTACCGTTGGCTCCGTTCCAGGGGCGTCTGGGCTCGATAGGATGGGATTTGGTAGCTTCATGTTACTAGTAGTAAGGCCAGGAGCCCCTAGTAGCTTCTTGTTCCTAGTAGCGATGCACCTTGCTACTAGTAGCTTCTTGTTACTAGTAGTAAGGCACTTGTTACTAGAAGCGATGCACTTGTTCCTAATAGCTTCTTGTTACTAGTAGTAAGGCACTTGTTCCTAGTAGCGATGCACTTGTTCCTAGTAGCGATGCCCTTGTTACTAGTAGCATTCTCTTTCCATATGCAAGGGGTTCCCACTGTCCTGCATTTGGCTCGTGTGTCCTTTCCTTCTTTACTTTTTGCTGTTCTGTGTGTATTTTTTCTATTTTGGTTTTCAGCCTCGTGGCTTTTCTGCATTGTTCCCTTGCCTTTTTCACTTCTTCTGCTTTCCTTTGTTCTGCTAAGGTTCTTCCTGCTTATTGCTGATCTGCTTCGCTGTTTCTGGTGCTTTTGTGTGTGCTTTGGAGCCTGAGTGCTGGTGCCGCTGCAGGGTGCTGCAGCGAGATGTCCATGGCCGTGCTCTTTGGAGAGATATGTATGGCCATGCTTGCTTGGAGGCTGGGCGCCAGATGTGTATGGCCACGTGTGCTTTGGAGCCTGAATGCTGGTGGGTGCCGCTCCAGGGTGCTGCTTGGCCATGTGCACTGTGGGGCTTGGGTGCTGGTGCTGCTGCAGAGTGCTGCTGCCAGATGCGTGGCATGTGTTGCCCAGGGGCAGAGGCAGGGATATTGATTGTGGCATACGCGAGCAGACGCCTTCATCAAATGTGTTGAGCCGATGATGCTGGAAACCTGTCACTGTTTACGTGTTCTCACATGCTCATTGAGCTTGCAAGTGCATGCGGGCAAAAGCTCTCTCCGTGACCATTGCCAGCTCCACCCCAGAAGAAGTGGCCCCATGCGCTGCCCCTCCAACAAGCTTCTTCAGTTCGGGCCCAGCGCTTGAGCCACGATGACAGCAGGGAGCTACGGTGAGTCCGACCAAGACCATCAGCCTCAGCATCACGCGCGGTGCATCCCAATGGAGCGGGGCGAAGTTGGAAGCCATGCGGCCTCTCCACAACAGAGTGCTTTCTCATCTCGACAGGCCGCCCTGTCCAACCTCGTGAAGAGATTCCTTTTGATTTCTGTTTGCTTGAAGGCCCGGATGATTTTTGTTGCTTGTGCGACGGAAGACTAGATTGTCGCACTACAGGTGGGTTCCACTCACTCAAATTACCGAACTGAGTGGGGTTGCAAGAGAGGCCGGCCGGGCTCAATCTACCACTCAAGCGTTTCAGAAGCGTCTCCGAGGCTGAGTGGCGGGTGGCAAACAGAAACTTCAAGGTTCCTCATGCATGCTCTCGTGCCACTGCGGTTCAGAGAGTGAGTCATTACACTCCCAAAACGGGGCCTTGACATCTCTCCTACCAAGGGCCAGGCGGGTTCCTGGCTTCTTTGCTCTTAAGTGTTCCAGATTCTCGTTGGCGCCCATTCCGTGGCAGCTTTTGAAGCGGATGCTTTGCTCCAACTTTTTCCTCAACTTGTTCCCTGGCATTAAAGTTCCCACATCCAAGCAGGATCGGGCAGGTCGCGAGTTGTCTAAGTGCATCAAATCATTTTTATCAGTTCGCGGCCTGGCGCAGCGCCAGTAGCGGAAGCAAATAGCCCTTGGAGATTGTTGCGTGCCCAGACGCCACAAGAACGGCTGCTTGATATGGATACCTTTGCTTTTCCCTATGCTCTCCATTCACCAGGACCCGGCTCCACCTCAAGAGGATGATGCTGACCCAGACAAGAAAGCAAGGCCTCACCATGCAGAGGAACCAGCACTAAAACTCCACGAGCGAAGGTTGCTCCGGGGGCTGGGATGTGGGGTTGAGTGGGGACAGCCACGGCCAGATGGGTTGCGGAGTCGCCGTTTGACTGACAGGACAGTGTTGAAGCAAACTCTTTTGACAGGCGAGCCTCAGATCGGAAGTAAGGAAGCGTGTGACAAGATGCGAGCAAGAGTGCAAGGCCTTACCCAAACAGAAATGGAGGGCCCTTGGCAGCCGCTGCGCATCGCAGTGTCCAGACATTTTGCAGCTGGATGGGGACGCTTTGTGTTTGAAAGCCCCGATGGCAGGGTGAAGTAACCGCAATGAACTCATGAGAGCTTATGGCCTGATTTTTCGGGAGTTGGCATTCCCCATGATCCAAACTGTTCATCTATAGCTGAAACCGTGATAGCAATTTCAACCACACTGAAACATATTGCTGTAAAGACGGGAGAGGTCGCGTTCCCTACAACAGGCGTAAGTCGTTGCACCCCCGGATCACTGAGCAGCTTGTGTGATTCTAGCTTCCATCTTGGCTTGATCAGCGTGGTCTCTGGCTCCCCGTCATCAGCGGCCACCAGCCTGGTAGTGTGATCTGCTCAATGGGCACGCGGCGCTGCGCCCACGCAGCGTCCTGCAGCGGCAGAAACGACAACGTTAATGAATACTTAAAATGATCCGCACCCTCCTCAGTCGGCCTCGCCGCGCGGTTGAAGCCCCAAGACTGCTCCACCAACGCACCCCCCGCAAAGCGCAACAAACAAGGTCAGTTGTCAAGCCCACCACCTTGCTCCTCTATTGTCTTTGATGCCTCTGCCTTGTCTACTGCTTTAGTCATCAACGTTTTCTGTTTGTTGTTTGCTTGCATGTTTCCGACCATCTCCGGTATAAAAAAGTTTCCAACACAAACTCGTCCAGGAGGGCTGTGGCCTGCCGCCCCGCAGCCGTTGGAGGGAGCTGCGCCCGCAAGCGAAGCACTCTGAGGAGCTGGGACGTGAGAGAAGCTCCCTGAGTATACACCTGAGCCCAGAAAAAACAAGGCACAAGTCTGCACACAAATGGCCATCATCTGCCTCTCCGTCGTAGTGCACAAACGGCTGCTTTTCTTTTCTTGCAAAGCTGGGCCAGTGCGGTCTGTGAATTGATCTCAGTCGCGGGCATTAGTGCTTCGCAACATGCACTTTGACGCAGCTTTCTCGAAGATGGACGGTCCCTTCCAGGCCATCATTGATGATGGTCACCTCCTCCGGCAAAACCGCCAGCAACAGAAAGATGAAGAAGACAAGGCTGCCCCCACAAAAAACACAACCGTTGTTTGAGATGCCTATGTGGGGTTCCACATGGCCAGCGCAATGAACAGGGAAACAATTCCAACTCCCCGGAGGCTCCCGCAAAGCAGGCCATGGTGTCTCAAGCAACCTGTCTGCTAAGACTAAACTGCCGAGAACAGAGCACGGGGTCAGCGGATTAGCGGATCAGCGGACCAGCGGATCAGCGGACCAGCGGATTAGCAGATCAGCAGACCAGACAACCGCCTGCTCATAAGTCCGTGGCGTGGGGTGGGGGATTGTCATCGTAGTTCTATACAAATAATTTGATTGTTTTCATGGTGTTGTAATGTTTGTTGTTTTTGTTTTTTGTAGAGCAGCGTTTTTAAGTGGAGTGTGGACTTGTAGGGTTTGGATCTGTAAGTTGTTCCATCAGATGGCTTGGAATCGGTCCCACACACCCCCACAAAGCAGGAGGAAGAGCCGCCATGGATTCCGTCTCAGTTCGCAGTGACCATCTGGAGCTGTCTGCTTCTCGAACCTATTTGGTAAAACTTCGTTGGCGCTAAGTCTTTGGGCACTGATTGCCATCAAGTATCACACCATATCAAGAGCTCACACGACTGATCACGGGTGTGCCAGATCTTCCGAAGAAAGTTGGGGAGTTGCACGTACACAACCGATAGATACGGAGTGGCTGGAACTCAGGAACTTCTTGTTTCACAATCTTCACCGGACGTCTGAAGGGGACTCCAGTGTCAACCCACTTTTGAAGTGCAGGGTGCACCGGAAGGGCTCTCACAGGAAAAAAACCTGAAAACGTGCTCAGCGCTTGCAAAGCTAGTGTCTCAGCGGTGAAGTAGAATATTTTTGACAGGGCAGTTGCTAACATGTTGGGACAGGTGCGGAATACTTTTGGGAAACCTACACACGAAGCAAAGCAATACTAGGCGCCGCGACCTAGTCATATATATACACTTATATTTGGAACTAGGATCTCACGAGGCAATGTGCAAATGTGTCGTTCGAAGCCAGTTCCAAGCTACTTTGTGTTTTTTTAATGGTTTCCATATTGCTTTGTGTTCTGTTGGCCCCGGTCTGCCTTGCTAGTTTAGGGTCTGATGGGACTGAGGTCATGACCCCCAGCTGGCCAACAAGATCTTGAAAAAACGCCGTGATGAAATGGCTCGCAGAATGCGTTTGCCCAGCTGGCCTGTGTGGAACCCGCAGAGTTCTCAAGGTCCAATATGGCCCCATGCTTTGGGAGGTGCATTTGTAATTGTAGCCGGCTTCAAGCAATGTTTCCAGAACGTACATCATATTTTTGTTGGTGGAGATGTGTTGAAACAGTTTAGTTTGATTCCAAACCACTGGTCAGCTAATCTTTGTGCCCAGCAGGCACACGGACACATTAGGTTTGGGTCATTTAGGTTCAAATTCGACGTGAACGTACCGAACTCAGGATCTGGTTCGTAGCTTGTTCCCTAATGATTTCCCAATGTGACCAAACGGCTTATTTGGTGTAAACGATGGCATGATACAAGTTCCCTCAAACTTTGAGTAACAAACATTTTTTGAAGAGCCAGGCTTGACCCCAGGCAGCGCGTTGGAGGAGTCCCTCATGAGGCAAACTGGAATTGCTTTCAGCCTTTGACCTTGAATTTCCGAAAGTCGACTGATGCACTTTCTTCGGAGGTGATCAAGACACAGATGGCTGTAAAGCAAGCTGCTATAGACGCAGCTCAGTCATGCATTTGTTGCTAAAACACTGGACCTCTTGCGTCATTGATGTTTAGACTATTCGCTGTTAGCAGTGACTGATTATAGACGATGGTTCCTTTTGCTGCTTAGGCTGAGCAGGCCGAAGATGCCTTTTATGCTCAAAGCGCCGAGTTGCAGGAGTGTGTTGCACTGCTTGATCCCAAATAGAGTGCTTGACAACTTGACATGACGTGACAGTCATTGCACTGTCCTGGCCAGGACCAAATTTTGCAAGCGGTTGAAAGCATGAAAGCCGCTAGCTCATGAAATTTGTGCTCACTTGCTTTCCAATTTGCCACACATGTTTTCATTCTTAGAAATGGTTTGACAGGAATGCCGCAGCATTCTGTGATAAAATGAGGTAGTACAACATACTGTAGAGTCTAAGTATGTGTCCTTACATCTCATGGCACATGCGCGAATTGTAGGCCACTCGTGCGAGAGAGCGCCAAATGGAAGTTGTGGACTACTCACTCGCGAATTTGCGAAAGGACTGTTGACATGGTGGAGATTGGATTCTGGAAATTCATGCTCTCGTGCACATTACTCTCAGGAGCAACGTCGTGAGTATGAACTCAGTGATCCTGATGCCCTCAAAAAGTATGTTTTGCGGGCAGCTGAGATCCGAGCACGGGCCATGTTCAGATGAAGAGGCTTCTGATTGCCAAAGGCCTGATCCGGATGATCCAGCCAATCCATTGGGCCCCAGCTCTATGCTGAAGCTGAAAGCTTAGCACCTTCTTTGCATTTACATATACAAAGCTGGCAACAAGACAAAGATCCTGGACACGACCTGGGCAGGTATAGAAACTGTGTGATGCACAGGTGCACCAGTTGCCTTCATAGAACCGTGAGCCGCTGCCAACAACATGGTGCACACCTCACACCACCTTCCATTTCCAAGAACACTGCACTTCCACTGCCACACAGCACCCGCTACAACCTGTTCTGCACCTGATCGCCACCCAGTAGCTATCCAATCCCTTGTCTCACTCGCACGGTATAAACTTCATTCTACTGATCAGCTGAATCGTTCTTGGCTTCAGCCACGATTTGAATCCATTATCTCAAGATTGCACACATACACATGAGGAGAATGTGTTTTTGCTCTTTGAGGGCATCTAAAAGTGATCAAATTATGTCATCGTATTTGAAGATCAATGGTTACTTCCACCTTGCTCCAAGGTTCTCAAGTGAAGGCAAGGAGCCAAGTTGAGCAAATCAAACATGCCCATTCCTGCCATATCCCGCCAGGCAAGCAAAACCCGGAACTCAAGCGACAAGGCCGACTTGGGAGGAGAACCACCATAAATGACAGAGGGTCCCAGGGACAGATAACCGACATAGGATTCTAATTTTCCTGGCAAAGCAATATTTCTGAGTGCCAGGCCGAGAAGCAATGGCGAGTTGGCTTGCGTCCACAGCTTGGCCTACATGACATGGGGCTCGGAGAGATTCACGCCCGTGTCAAGCACAGGGTCTTGTGAACTCGCAAAGCATCGCCAATGGCTACTCAAGAAACGCTGTACCACCTTTGAGACAAAGTTGCAATTCCAAAGAATTTGTTTGCACCCTTTCTTTCAAATAACGGATGTTTTGCAGGAAAAGGGCAAGAACTTGTGATTTGAGGGAAGAGGTCATCAATCACTGCGATGACGGGCATATGGCAACGGGTCCGCACAAAATGACAATTCACTATAAAGCAGCACAGCTCAACACTTCGCTACTGCACCCCTTAAAACGCGTGACACTCCGATAGGGCACTGCTTGACAAACTTACCACTTGCGTAGCTCAACACTGACTCACCACTTGTATAGCTGGCCAAATTGCTGGCTCAAGACTTTTTTGGAATTTGGTTGTTGACAAGCACTTTGCTGGCTGGCTTACTGTAACACAAGTTTGACTCACCCCTTAACAAGCTCAACACCCTCAGTGGCAAGCTCACTCAGCTGGCAGAGGCGGCACTGAGTATGCTCAGCTAAATGAACATCATTTAGCTCAACACCCAGCTAAGTTTCCATAGCTATCTCTGGCACTAACTTGTTTGGCTTGAAGTTGAGCTATCCCACCACTATCCAGCTCCAATGCCTAGCTAATACATGAGTCGTTTGCACCACTTTGCTGTCTCAACGTAAACTTTGCCAACCTAGCACTCCGCTGGCCCAGCACTCCACTCACGGCTCAGCTAGCTCAACATCGCTGGCCACTTGACTTGGCCTCAGGACACACACACACACAAGTTGCATGGTTTAGAGGGTTCAGCATCACTCAGCATCACAGCAGACCACCGCAGGTCCTTACAATCACCACCGATCACCACAAATCAGCACGGATTGGGCATGAGCATAGTCACCAGGGTATGTTTGGTCAGGTAGCGAAATGCAGGCGGCAAAAACTGGCTTGAGTGTTCGTCTGCCTTCCTACATGTTTGCTTCATTACTTGCTAAGTTTCTCAAGCTAAGGGCGCAAGTGCAAGAGAAGCAGGATAGAGAAGCGCATGAGAAAGGATTGGACCGCATGCATGATGATCGGGTGAGATCCTAAGCAGTCCAGGTGGAAAACCAGGCGCTATTTGTACCTCTCACTTTTGTGGAATTTGCAATCATGCTTAGCGGTTTCCCTTTGCCTAGACGTCGCGGCACAGTGTCATGCGCTCCAACAAAGGCCATGTTGGCTGCACATGTTCGCGGTGTTTGTGAAGACAACGAGATTAAGGAGAAACACCTGAGACCAGCTGCAGCAGACATGGCTCTCTGGAAGCGTGTTCTTGAAGCCTTTCTCAGTCAACAATTTCCACATGCTTTTTGATAGCACTGCGGCCTCAAGGAGCAGCAGGATGCAAAGTGTGAAGAAGCTGCTGAGTGACCTTGCTGTATCAGGGATTGGGAACAGTGTATCAGTATCAGGTATCATTGGGTTTCGGGCTATACAAGCTCTCCAGTGTATTTTGTACCTGCCAATTTATTTTGCTAGCGCCAAGGAACGTGCGTTTGGCACAGTTGGCCCTCGAGCGGAAGAAGGCCTGGCATTGAATTGTCCCTAACGTTCCTAGTGTTACCATGAGCGGAATCTGAGTTGACCACAGGCCAAGAAGGCTGCAGATGATGCCTGGAAGCAGCGGCACATTGATTCAGTTCTAATCTTGGAGTGACAATATGTTTGCATGATCATGTGCAAGAACCTTTTACACGTTGTTCAATGAGTCAAGCGAATTTCTGCAGGGCTATTGGGGACTCTCTTCCTCCCTACCTTTACCCCTCTCTGTTGGCTCTTCAGGTTGTGAACTCGGAGAGGATGACAGAGTCATGCGATTCAAAAGTGGGCATCACGGGAAGGTTCCTGAAGGCGGAATACAAGAGACTATCCTTGGAAGAGGAGCAGGACCAGGGCGAATCATTCAGATTCAGAGTGCCACTTGCTATGCAACTCAAAAAGTATTGGGTCCTGCGCATGCCATGTTCAGGATGTGTACAATTCCAATGCGAGACAGCTCATCAATAAATGGTCGACCAAGCAAGCTCTAAAGGAAGAAGAGGCCGCCTGCCCTTTTGGTTGCTCTTGATTTGATGGCACCGCTGCCACCCAACATGACGGACGCACAGGCTGCTGAAGCCGCCAGAATCAACTGCTCGGTGGCTTGACATAGCTGCAAGAGCACCTACATCAAAGAGTAAAACATATACATATATATATATATACACACGCATAGACGACTTGTTTGGAAGGACAGGTGCATTTGAGTGTGATATGATATGAACGTTTTCAAGAGGTGCGATGAAGTTGTCAATCCCGGTCAGGTGGCAGGTAGATCTCGTTGTGCTTTGTGTAGGAAACACTTGCAGTATGAAAACTGTATTCCTTTTCATGTGGCGATGAAGTCTTTGCAGCCACTGTCACTTAACCCGACTTTCACTGAATGGGTGATGTGCTTCGCTTTGAAACTATGTGTGCTTTAGTTTTTAGAATCTCAGGTTGCAGTTCTGGCAGCTCTTGAAGAAGAGCGTGCTAGACAGCAGCAGGTGCCAGAGCATTGGTTGTCCTGGCATATGGAGAGCATGAGCATGAGCCTGCCAGGAGCGACGAATGAGGATCATTGAAGAGAACAAGAAGCTTGCTGCTGCCGGAGTCTTGTTTGTCCACTGAACAAAACTACAGAGAGTCTTTGGTACACACTGTGGCTTCACGGTTGAAGGCGAAGAGGGAAGCAGACAAAGACGAGAGAAAAGAGTACTTCAAGTATGACCCGTGAGCAGAGCAACCTTTGCATGGCCAAACATGGACTTCGGGCTTTCTTAGCGTCTGATGCTGCCCGATAAAACAGAGTTGGTTGCGGTTTCACGAGACAAGCTCTCCAACTGCTCGCAAATGTGAGCGGGAAGATGTATATGGCTTCGTTGCCGTGAAACCGGTCCTGAAAGTTGTGTTGTGGCTTTCAACAAGTTGTGTTGTGTTGTGGATTGTCAATACATATAGAGCAATGTTGCCACACTTGTTGTGTCTCACCACTGAGTTGTCGTCCACAGGCAACTGATGGCCGTGGACAGCAGAAAACTTGTTTTTTGAGTTGGTTATTTTCAATCGCTTGGATGGGGAGACATCTGCTTTCTGCACCCAGAAGCAACCCCAAAAGCACTCTTGCTTGGCAGCAGATTCTGCTCAGGTCCAAGGACTTTGGTAAATAGCAAGCCAATCCCAAGCCTATGGTGGTTGAATATGGCTCGGGAATGCTTCATAGGGATTCGCACCCCTGCAAATACGAAGTGCTCGTGAAGGGAACCTACAGTATTCATTCTTACTCTCCAGTCTGCCCTGTGTGTGCTTTTTCCCACCTGTCAGGTGAGGGTTTATATACATATATATATATATAGATTTTATGTCAGCTGAAGTGCTGTTTTCCTCTCCTCTCCTCCCCTCCCCTCCCCTCCCCTCTCCTCTCCTCAACCGCAAGTGTCGAATGGCAGTGTTCCTACCTCAACTGCCAGCTCAGGATGGCAGTGTTCCCGCCGGATCTCAATCGCCAGCTCCGGATGGCAGTGTTCCCCGCCAGACCTCAACCGCCAGTTCCGGACGGCAGTGTTCGCCGCCGGACCTCAACCACCAGTCAGAAGATATGCCAGATAGAACGCCAGAAAGAATGTCAGAAAGAATGTCGAAAGATACGCCAGAAAGAAGAGATAATGTCAGAAGATATGCCAGAAAGAATGTCAGAGATATGCCAGTAAGAATGTCAGAAGATATGCAAGAATGTCAGACAGAGTGCCAGAATGATTGTCAGAAGAGATGCCAAAAAGAATATCAGACGATATGCAGAAGATATGCCAGAAAGAATGCCAGAAAAATGTGAGAAGATATGCCGGAAATAATGTTACTTAGAAAGAGTGTCAGGTGAGAGAATGTCAGAAGATATGCCAGAAGAAGTGTTAAAAGCATGTCAGAAGATGTGCCAGACAGAATGTCAGAAAATATTCCAGATAGAATGTCAGAAGATATGGAAACCTGTCAGAAGAGAAATGTCAGAAGATATGCGAGAACAATGTCAAAAAATGTTATAAAATATGCCAGAAAATACCGAAACCGTGTTTCAATACATGCACAAAATTGTCAGATTGAAGTGTCATGGTGGGGATCACTCGAAAGGAAATAGTTTGTTTGGGGAGACGTGGTCTGGCTTGATTACTTACACGTATCTTCAACAGCTTGCTTTGCATGCTGTGCATGGCCCAATGACCAAACTTCTTCCCAACGCAAAAACAACCTTTGGACATGTGACATGTTCCTAACAAACAAGTGACACGGGGTACATATATGAACACGCACACAGAGACGTCTTGGTCTCTATGCCAATAAGAGGTGATCCAGACAGTCTCTCAGCCGGTTCCTAAGTCTCAAAAATCAGGGGAGCGACACCAACGGGCAAAGCCTGTTATTTGTCGCTGTCACAGAGGGCCTTGTAAAAGACATTCAAAACACCATTAAAGGGCCCCTACCTTCTTTTCTTCTCAGCACAGCTCTATTGCAAGATGCTGAGGTGGGCCACCATGTGGACGCAGTGGAAGACATTCGATCCATTTTGAGGCTCTTTGAGTGAGAGACATTTGCTTCTTGACTCTCACAAAACATTCCCTTTTCGGGTGAGAATACAACGTTTTGATGGAGGCACTAGACTCTGGGTGTCAGTAGCGAATTTGGAGATGTGCTTGATTAGAAACAACTATGAAGGCCTTGCTCGCGGCAGACCTGCTGTTGCGTGCATCATTGTTCCGTGTCAAGATCAGCCTTTGCAACATACTTTAACATACTGTGTATACAACCTCAGAAGACTTCAATCCTAATTTCCAAGACCTGGTGATGAGAATCTTTGTGCAGCACATATTGTATTTATACGCTCATATTTGTGTCATTGACTGTTTCATGGGTTAGGTAAGCAGAGCATGTTTGTAAAATGATGGAGGAACGCACAAGAAGCTGCCTTTCAGAAACCAAGTCAGCTTCTACCCTACCACAGTTGTTGAACCTTCACCAACCCAGCACAAGATACCGCATGTGAATACAGAGCTATGCGGTTTTGCCCAGGCAAGCAGCAGCTGATAGGTTTGACTTTGTGTCTCGCTCTAAGTTGTTAAAGCCTAGCTAGAATCTAGAAACACACTACACATTTTTGACAACACTGTTGCAAATGGTAGTCTACTTGGCAATTGTAGTCAGAGTGACAGATTGCTTTCGGAAGGTCTATACCTTTGGCAGCTCCTCAGGGTCAGGGAGTTGACTATGATTTTCGGCCCTCTGCCGCAGCCCAAATCCGGAGATTGTATCCGTCTTGGACATCCAGTCAGTATCGTTGGATCCACAAAAAGGTCTGGATGTGCATCGTGTTCCTATTTGAGAGCCCATTGAAAGCCCCTTGAATCCTTTTGCGCTTCTTCAAAGGTGGAGTCCTGTCTCACCTTGGAGGCATTCGATTTATTTGTGTATAGATGAAACGGTGAAACTTTAAATTGAGCAAACAAAGGGCATAACGACAGATCAGGACGGTGCTGACCTACAGAGCACTCTTCCAATTTGTGTCCAGTTGCAGGGTGAGCAATGGCGCACAGTTGTGGTGGGAAGAGTGTCGGAATCGCTCGATCCGGACACTGCTTCTACATTTTCGGAAGCAGAGGCAGGCTAGTTTACTATAAGCACAGCCTGAAGGCCTCGCATCTGGTTCTTGGATGTTCTTTGCACTTTTGTTAGGTGCTGCGGTCATGCTTGGAGACTGAACTGCGATGGGTGCGGCGCTGCCTCGCTGTTTCAACCCATATATGTAGCCGCTAGGAAAGCTCAAGATTCAAGGCAAATCGTAACGATGTTAGTGTTTGCAGTTGCGTGTTACCCACTGAATGGCTTCACTCAGACAATCAAGAGATGCTTAGCAGACTTCCCGACATGAACACACTGCAGACAACTGGAACCGTTCTTGACAAGTCTATCCTGATCATTCTGACGTTGCACGTTTTCTACATCCCGCGAGAAGCTCTGGCAAAACAAGCTTGCTCAAAAACATAGAGATCTGACATGTGGATCACCCGGCCATGCCTAATTGTCTCCACCTTGAAGAGAAGCTACAGAATCACCAGCTCCTTGATATGTTTGCCCATGGCAAATCTCCCATTGCTATCTTGGACCGGGCATTTTGGTGTTTGCTGAGTGCATCCTGTTCATCTAGATAGGGGTAGTGCTTCCAAGTCGAAGGAGCACACGTTCCTGTGGCATCCAGAGCAGCAGAAGTCCAGAGCCAAGTGAGAGGTCAAGATGTAAGCTAAGAAGGAACAATAGATAGAAACCAGGACAGGTCTGAATTCATTTTTTGGTCAATGTCCACTTTGTGTGTGACATATTTGTGAATACTATTTGCATCAAATTTGCGAATGCTAAACTGGACCTCCTTTGTTTTCTGAGAAGAATGTTAGAGTAGTTTTGAAGAAGTGTGAAATCTTGGGATGCGTAAGCATATAAAAACGTGTTTTTATGCGATAATTCCAACATATGTGTGTTTAGTTTGTGAGATATGGTATGTGTGATTATTTTGTGAAATACTTCCAAATACTTGTTGTGAAGCAGGTTTGACAATAGGACAATCAGATCGTTTTCACCAGTTCACAAGCAATCACACACACATATATATATATATATATATTTGCTCAAGTCTGAATCTAAAGGCCTGAATCTAAAGGCCTACAGAATTCAAAGGAACCAAATCAAAAGAACCAAAGATACATCAATACGTATTTGTCTGTCATTTTGGACAGTCCATCTTGCCACAAGGATTCAATCAGCTCCAGACTGCGAATCTCCAGGAGTTGACATGTGAACACACGTGAACCATTGTGAAGCGTCGTGAAACTTGGTTTTCATTGGATTTGATTGTGTTTTGCGAGGGAATTGACATGAGTCGGATCTTAGTGCTCGAAGCCTCGATAGTCGGTCCGAGCCTAATGACATTCAGGCACGTAAACGTAAACTGTGCATTTCATAGCATTTGCAGGAGATGCCGCCGAAGCCTCAAGGACAAGCAATGCAGATTGGATTGAAGCAATCGATCTTTTCTTTCAATTATTCTGAAAGCTTCGCAAGTGGAAGTAGAAACGCCCACAAGACTGTCCTCAGAGAATTGATTAAGACTTTTTAGAACATGCACCTTTGGGGAAGGCCATTTTGCACTCCACAACCTTAACAGCCTGAGCAAAGTATGCTTGTTTCGGATCAACAGGGTTGTGCTACTTGATGGGAGTTTAGTAGCGTTCTTGCTCCTAGTAGCGATGCCAGGAGCCCCTAGTAGGGTCCTTGCTCCTAGTAGTACGGCCAGGAGCCCCTAGTAGCGTCCTTGCTCCTAGTAGTACGGCCAGGAGCACCTACTGGCGTCCTTGCTCCTAGTAGCGATGCCAGGAGCCGCTAGTAGCGTCCTTGCTCCTAGTAGTACGGCCAGGAGACCCCTAGTAGCTTCCCTACTCCTAGTAGCGATGCCAGGAGCCCCTAGTAGCGTCCTTGCTCCTAGTAGCGATGCCAGGAGCCCCTAGTAGCGCCCTTGCTCCTAGTAGTACGGCCAGGAGCCCCTAGTAGCATCCTTGCTCCTAGCAGCGATGCCCTTTGCTCCTAGTAGATTATTTTTGCATTGCACAGCTGGTTATGTGGAGTAACATAGACCTGCAGATTGGCAACTTTTACCACACGCATATATTCTTTCGGTCGTGTGGCCGTGGCTGGGAGAGATTCTCACTCCTGGGTGAAGACATGTTGGTATCTCTCCGGAGCCTGCAGAGGACAATTGCGCCTGTTGTGCAAGCGTCGGCCACCCCATCTGGATGGGAAGTCCCTGAATTGGCATCAGGCTATGGCTGCAGCTTTTTTGCAGTTTGATTCCAGGTCTTTTTAAAGCTGCAAACTGTGTAGGCACTATCACTATAGTACATCATAGAACTTTTAATTGTATATATATATATATTATGATACCGGTGTATATATATATATACATACACATACACGCACATTTCAATCTGAAGCAACGGAACTACTGCAAAAGTTGCACGATGCGAAGCTGCCCCAAGGCCCGCATCTTCGCGGAGTTGTCGGAAGCTCAAAAGGATTTCCACTGTGCGGCCGAAGCACTTGGCTATGAGGTCGTCATCATTTGTGTGCTTCTTTGGCTCGCTTCAAGGCTCCATGTGAATCAAGACATGGCATCCTTTTGCAAATTCTCGCAAACAACGTGTAGGAGTTGGTATGGTCCGAAGGTTGTAAATATAGCGTTCATCATTAGATGTGAAAGCAACAGAGCCAGAACTGTTACACCATAAGCGGATTTCAACAAGCATGCTGCGAGTGGACCGCTGCCCTGCAGGACTTGGTTACCTGACGCTTCCATGATTCCTTTCGTCATGCTTTGTGCTTCGGCTTTGGCGTCATGGACACTTTTGATCAACTGCTAATCTCCTGGACTCATCACGACTTCTACATTTACTGCAGACTCTTTTGAAAGATGTCTATATATATAATTCTATAACATCTATATATGTCTTTTTGGTTGAAAAATAGCTTGCCACAAATCTTGCTCAGCATAGCTCCGCCTTTGAGCGCAGGAAAGAATAGTAGTACAGTATCGCCCAGGTACAGGCTCCACAAGTGCATTGTGGTGCACGCAGGAAGGTCTTGTGGTCTCCTTGGGACCAGTGCCCTTGTGCCTCTTCAGACGGCGCATTCCCTACAGGCGCTGTCTTTGAAGGACTAGGAATTGTGATGCTAATGAGGAGCATCGTTTCATAGAGAAAGACTTGACCAGCCACCACCACCCTCTCTTTGATAGACGACTTTTGACGACTAGTGTCGGACGAGTAGAGGTCAACTAGACCCAAATTGACAGACTTACAGGTGAACAACAACGTTGGAATGATAGGAGTCGAAAGACTGCGGATTTCAACGGGTTTGTCCAAACGCATACAACAGCAGTGAGGCCAGAGTGAATCTAGCAGGTAGAGCAGACACATGCGCATACTGTCTGTGATATTTCTATACATTATTCATTATTCTTTTGGCGCTGCATGTGTTGTTTGGTTTCTTCACTTTCACTGCGGATGGTTGGAGCTGACAGCTGCACATGATTCTCAACAAATGCAGCATTGAAGGGACGGCAAATCCAGTGCATTCATTTTTGGTGTTAGCATATAGGATAAACAAGTGGTTTGTAAAGTTGTGCTTTATAATCGTACGTATACTGTACATGGGTTTGTTCTTGTTACTTGGTTTGCGAAATTCAGAGAGGGTGGTTGCTGGAAACGACTGTGAGCAGTGACAAATCGGTTTGACAGTTTCAAGATTCATAACGACAAAAACTTCAGAACAAGGACGTCGGACATAACACTGTGAAAGTATAGACCGGAAAACCTCCTGTAGCTTTGTGCCCAGTCTTTCAGTAAGTTTTTGTTGTTCCTGAGAAGAAAACAGCCGGATGCATCAAACACATCCTGTTCTGAGCATTGCGCAGAAGCACAGATAATTCTCAGTTGTTGATACTGAACTGTCAACAGAAGAACCGTCACTTGACCAAGCTTGATGATCATTTTGGTAAGTCCTTGAGCTCCCCACAGAAGCGGTGTTTGCAAGCTTTCCTCATTTTTCAGGTGGTAGGTTTCATTCAATGTCGGTGTTACAAGATAGAGCCCACAGGAGAGGAAGCCTCGAAGCTTCCAAGTTAGTTTTCAGCTTTGTGGAGTAGCTGCATGGCATGGCAGTTTCGACAGGGATATTGAGTCAGTTCATATTCTTCGTGGACGACTCAATGCCCGACTGGCCTGATTAGATGTGCAATTGGATATATATATATATATGTGTTCTAGACAGCATTTGTTGGATGATGGGACATTTGCAAAGTACAGCTGTGGTGAGTAATTCTCTACTTGGACAATCTTGTTCCCACTCCACACTCTCTTCTGGCACAGAAGACAATCCAGTCATCCAGTCTACTGCAGCAGGCCAAGCTTGCTGGCAATGATGTGACACGCCAGGCCTTGGTATTGGCTTTGCGGAGTGCGTGCGCAATGCAGCCCTTTGGCTTTGTGTACGCTTTAACCCTGGGCAAGGCTTGTCCTTGGGCACCAATTTTCAACGCTTCCAGTGCTACTACCCCCTGCCTTGAACTGACACATGTTCCAGGACATCATTGACATTCGTTTGCAGCAAAATTGGGACAAGGAGGCAGCGTGACTGGATGATTTTCTCTGTGTGATGTTTGTGTTTGTGTGGCAGCCTCTCTTTCACAGGAAAACTCATCCTTGGCCAGTTCCTTACAGGCTTACGTTGTGCTTCGCACATTGCTGCTCTGTGAACTGATTGTGTGACGCATTCTTGTCTGTCTCGCTTGTTGACACAGAACGTGTTGCAAGTTGCTCCGATTCGAGTGTGCGACTTAGATGCACTTCTGGGAATGGCTTCCTTGCCGTGACAGACTCGGAAGTTCAACAACACATTTTCCGCTTGTTCCCGTCGTTTCTTTTTATGGCTTGTTGCTGGAGGAAAAGTTTCTCGCATGCTGGTTTCCGTAGATGAGGCGACCGGATGAATTCAGTTCCACAAAAGTGCTTAGTGTAGTTACCATCAAAGGCTTGGTGACCTTGGTGCGTGCAAGTCTGTTCTTTTCGGAGGCAGATGATGTTGTAGCTCACATTCAATTTCGCAGCGAGCACGGACCACTTGTCACATCCTCACAGGGTCAGAATCTGACTGCACTTTGGAACACA